CACGCACGCGCGCGCACACGCGCACACACGCACGCACATGTATACAGCATAGTTGCAATATGGTATTCCAAGTAAATGTTAGCGGCGTAATTAACTTGTGGAAACAGACCAGCACATTACACAAATTACGATGTCTCTTTTTGCAATGCAGCATAAAAATCATGTATTACATGCGATGCTAAAAAACTATGAGTCTCGAGTGAACTCGAGTCAAGCAAAAAAAAATATCGCATATAATGTTTGCATTAACAGCGAATGTTTTATAAATTATATTCATATTGAATGTCCAGTTGTTAATGTAATCTGACTAACCAAAATAAATAAATCGAAACAAATATATATACCATATATATATTACATAAGAAATCAGATGTTCTTAAATATTTCATTATTAAATAATATATAAAAATCGTCATTATCATGCTTTTTAAAATTTCCTATTTTGATAAAAACTTCTTTAATTATCTTTTTTATATATTAACCATATTTTTTTATAAAACAATTTATTTGTAAAAAGAAGAGTGATATATTTTTGGAAAACATCCTTAACATTAATTAATTATTGTATATGTCTGCAAATTATTTATTTTTATTAATTTAATTAAATTTAAAGAAGCTCTGTGTGTGTGTGTGCGTGCGTACGTGCGTGCGTGCGTGCGTGCGTGCGTGCGTGCGTGCGTGCGTGCGTGTGTGTGTGTGTGTTGGAGGCATTTACACTTTAAAATCTGATATTCTAAACTAACATTCTTTGAATTTTTAGGTGGTTGTGTTCGACCCTACCGATTATCCAGATATGACCAGTGGTGGTGTCACGGAAGTACTCGCAGTACCTCTCTCTGAGACCTTCCTGGACGTAGTTGGAACGCTCTTTACTAGTAACCCGGAAATCGAAAATTTCCCCAGGGATAAACGTAACTGCATTTTTTCAGATGAGGGAAAGTTAATTCCTAGTATTACGAAATATACTTACAGTGATTGTATCGTCCATTGTAAAATTAATTTCATACAGAAGTCCTGTGGATGCAGACCATTCTTTTACCCACGTCGCAGCAAGAAAGATTGTTAGTAAAAATACGTTATTAATTTTCGCAACTGTTTATGCTAGTCTTTAAAAAAATTCTTGGGCTCACTATAAATATGCATAACTTAAAATTTGATGCACTTAACGCTTACGCATATTGTTATTTGCAGCTTACGGATATAAACTTATTAATGATAAATTTGCTTTTAATTAATAATAAATTGATATAATATGTGTTCTTACTTTGGTCGTTTAATTTTTCAGTGTTTATCTGCAAAATCATGAAATCTATTAATTTTAATTAAAAATTGCTTATTGTATTTCATTTGTAAAATTAAATAGAATATAAAATATTTAGTAGATGCAACTTATACATAAACTCTTTTTTAGAAATAAAATTCTTTCTCAACTCTATTCACTTGCACGTTAAGGTAGTATTTGTTAAGAATTTCTGTTGCATGATATAATTTTGAAAGAAGAATCGTTAAATAATAATGACAGATATTAAATCTTACAGCGACTATGATTTCATAATAACAAGTTTTTAATTTGTTGAGATTTCAAATTACATTCCATGATTTTGTAAAAGCTTTAATTGGCTTATAATTCTATTCAGCTTCGCAAATTAAAAATTTAACTGCGCTTGCTACTGCTTTCTTTTCTAAAACTTAAATTATAATTCGCAAATAAAGTTCGCAACTTAAAAAATGTATATTATCAAATATCTTACTCAAATAAGGAAAATATAGTAAAATTAGTCATTTTAGTTACGAAAAGGTATAAGAATTTTTATAAATTTTTATAAATACCTGTAGGTTTTCTGTCCACGAATTTTTTAAATGTTTGGGCTAAACTGTTTTAAATATTAAAACATAATGTGTTAGATTTCACAAACAATTAAAAATTTAAAAATTCTCACATATATTAAGCTGTATATGCATGATGAGGAATCCGTACAGTTGAATGAAAGAGTATTAAATATGTAGCAGTTCGTATATTTATTACTCTTCAGTGTCTTATTTATGTGTGGCTTACGAGATTTATTAAGCTTACCTAATGACACTATAAAGTCAAGTGACAGGATATAATGGTCGCCATAATAATATACAAATAATGCTTTATTTATTTATTATTCAATCAGATCATTTTATATGATTGAAAGTCTCGATAAAACTGATATTAACTTCATTGATCTTGACGAATTGTATATACGAGCAACAAACGAATTTCGATGTTAATAGAACGAGTGGTAACATCGAACTTGTACACTCGCAAGAGCGCGAACTACTTTCATTGGTGTTTCTTTGCAGTGCATCACAGTCTACCGAGGCTGACAATTTAACAATATTGCTAGCAATCTTCGGAACAAATAGTGTTGCTTTCTTTTCGATTTTATTTCCTTCTTAAATTCTCCTTATACAATTTAATTCTTCCATTTATCTTCTTTTGTTTGTAGCAAAATACAATTTATATGTTTTAGAAAATATGATTTAATTGTTATTATTTGTTATTTATTAATAGAATACGCTGATAAAATTACATTAGATTATAAATAATCATAAAAATTTATACAGACATTACAGAGAGTTTTTGTTTAACAAAAGCTTTTTAATGGAAAATTTAATTTGTTTTAGGCAAGTTAAGAAATATTTAGTAAGTATTAAATTCTGTAGTATTACATACTTTTTCATAATTAACGTTATAACAATATTATTATTATTATGTCTATTATATTTATAACAGTGTTTTAGATACGTAAAAATATATAAATATAAAAATCAGTCAAAATTCATAAAAGTCTTTAGTAATAACATAATAATTATTTTTGTTCTAATAAAAAAAAATAGAAAATCAATAAAAGAAGAGAAATGAGAAATCAGAGCGAACAGTCAATATGATAACGTCATAGACAACGTATCTTTCGAAGCCAATAAGATTTCCGTCAATTCCTCACATCCTTCTCACATCTCTCATTCATGCTTCGATTTTTCTACTTTTGTCGCGAAAGTTGAGATAAAACAAAAATAAATATTAAATAAGAAAGCACGATAAAAATAGTTCTTGAAAATATAATAATTAAAAATAAAATTTTAAACCTAGTTCTATTAATTTACAAATTAATCCAAATACAAAATATAATTACTAATTTAATAATTTGAATTAGAAAATATAATTGCAGATTAAAAGTATATAATTAAATATAATTAGATATAATAATTCTTATTAATCATAATAGAATTATGATTGTAATAATTAAAAGAAACGTATAAGTCAGGATAAACGCGACTAATTTTATCAAATAAAATTTTATTACTTAAGACTACGTATAGATAAGATTTAAATAAACTATACAGTAAGGATCGTATCTTATTGGAATCGGGTTTCTACAGACCGATGAACTCTCTTACATCTCGGTGATTTCTTTCTTCTATCACGAAGTCGAGAGGCGTGGGTGGCAATCTGTAAAGGAACGTTGCGCACCGCATTGCGAAGCGTATGCGTTCGCGAATTTCTAACGAGGCTTTAGAAATAAGAATTTGCAAAAAAATGTTCATATTTTAAATAGTATGAAGAAAGATGGAGAGTACGTCGAGCAGTAGTGCGGGCGTTGTTGCACGTGTTGTTGATTAATATGAAGAATGAAGAAGGCAGCTGCGAGAAAAACCACTCCAAACACGCCGTGCTCGAGAGGCACAGGTGGCTTAAAGCATTAAAGCGGATCGCGTGAAGCATTGCTTTGTAGGATTAATTTACTGTGGCCAGAGTTCTAACGAAGAAGAGGAACTCGCTGAAAGCGGCGCCGTGCCGCATGCAACACCGAGTATTCTTCTCTCTGTTCTTTCGTTCTAAAGCCGTCCCGATTGTTCTTTTTCTCGCGCTCCATCGATAGCACAGGGCGTGCTTGGAGTCGTTTTTCTCGCGGCTGCCTTCTCCATTCTTCATATTAATCAACAACACGTGCAACAACGCCCGCGCTACTGCTCGACGTACTTTCCATCTTTCCTCATACTGCTTAAAATATGAACATTTTTTTGCAAATTCTTATTTTTATATTTTTATTAAAAAATTGAAAGTAGATTTTGTAATAATAACATAATTTTATCTGGTGGTTATGACATTACCCGATATGATAAAGCTTTTATTTTGTTAATTGTTTACAAGAAATAAAGAAACCTTTGGCAATATTGAATAATATTAGCAATCAATTTTGTAATTTTATTTGAAAATGGCGAGACGCACATAAACTTTTTGATAGATGTGAATTAACTTTGTCATCTTTTTTACTCGTTATGCAGCCCGCAATGAATTTTGATATTTTAAAGTTATATTAAGAAATTAAACACTGCTGAGAGGAAAACGCTATATTCAGTCAAAGCGAATTTCGTCGTGCCTAATAATATCTTTTATGAATTTATAGAATAATATAAATATAATTTAAGAAAAAAATTATAATTTAAGAAATACTATATATATATAATAATTTAAGAAGTTTTTACGAATTCACACATATATTTATTAAATTTCTAGTTCAAGCACACTGTGCGCCAATTATTTATCGGAACATAGTCCTAAATTGAAGATGGAGTAGTAATATATCACAGATTAAATTGTCAAATAATTTAATGCTTGAGGATGCTAACATACATATTTATAATCCTGTAAATAATTTATTGCGAAAAATATTATCTCAGCCGGAATTCGAACCGATATCTCTCCAATTCGGTGCCGGCGTCTTTCCAATTAAAGGCGTATGATAATATTTATTGCAATAACTAGAAAAACAAATTAAGAAATCTTTTTATAACGTAATATATTTATAATATAAGTTGTAATACATATATATTTAAAAATAGGAGAGTTATAATAAAATATAGCAATTTAATTAAGTTGTGAGAATTATCTAGATTCCCTAAAATTGATCTTACAAAAAAGAAACTTTATTTATGCAAATTTTGTTCTTTTTTATAGATTAATTTTATAAATATCCTTTATTTATGTTTATTATGTTTCATATATAATTTATATGTATACCTATATACTGTGTTATATATTTCAGATTCATGGCGTATTTGTAATAGCTTGGACTTCGAGTGCCTGGCTAAGCATAAATGTAAACATTATTACATTATTAATCTAAAAGCAATTATTTTGTTACATAAACAATTTAAAAACTTTAATGTTTACATTATTTATAATTTATTATTTAAGTAAGTTTGTTCTGCTGATCGGCACAGACAATTTCTTCCTTGCACCATAGTTTCGCGTAAGTGTTTATCGTTATTCTCACCACACAGGAATCACAAGGAAGACAAATTGTTTATTAAGCGTTTATTACAATTTTGCGTCACAGATTCACTTATAAATGTTCCAATAGAATGTACCAATGCAACTAAAGCATGGATTGCACCTTACTCGCTTGACAACGCCTTGGGGCCGTAGCCCTGAGCCGCGTCGTGGTAACGCTTGGGACAGACACCTTGAGCTCGCCCAGAGCAGCGCCTAGAGAACGCCTTCAACTACGGAGGACTAGTACAACTACGTCGTCGCCTTGAATTGCGTTTACTTTCGTAAACACACTTTATTCGCGTCGATTCGATGTGAACAAGATTTTTACTTCGAAGAACTGACGACTCGGATAAATTCGTGTCAATGGCTACGTTTACACCGTGCGCTTAGGCCGCGGCCTATACAATAAATGTCTTTGTTTATCTTGTATATTAAACAAAGACACCTATCGTATAAGTCGCGGACTAAGCGCACGGTGTAAACGTAGCCAATATTCCGCGAGGTCCGATCCCCCCTCTCCCTGCCGAACATATCCGAATTCGATTCGACCGACGATCTAGGGTGCGTTCCACTTGACGCTCACAACGTTCACGCTCTCTACGCCGCGATCACTCGTTCCACTAGCATGAGTGTGCCAGCAAGTGGAATGAATTAGAAGTGATTTGTGAGCGTTATCAAAATGGCAGTCAA